TCTCCTGCTCCACTGGCCTTATTTCTGACCCACAGAACTTTCCCTATCTGTCCGGCAAGCTCAAAAGCACTTGCATACTAGTGTTGTGACACTGGGCAACTTAGACTTTCTGTGCCATTTCTTAATCTACAGAATGGAGAATAGCACTATCTACTTTATAAGGTTGTTGTGATGATTCAATAAATTAATAAATGTAAAGCACTTAGTGCCCAACAAATAGTAAGTACTAATAAGTACTTGCTATTTTTTTATTGTTGGTTCATATCAATTATCTTACTAATCTATCCTATTATTATCTCCATTTTTAGAAAAGGCAAACTGGGACTTAGAGAGAGAAAAATGACAAACCCAAGGGTACACAAAGAAGTGGCAGAGCCAGACTTCAAAAACAGGTCTGTGTGACTGACGCCAAGTGGAGGTCACTCTCCACCACACCACTAAGAGTGAGTGATGGCCCCTCAAAGAGGCAGAAGCCATCAACAGGGTGCTCAGTTGGGAATGAACAACCAGCTTTGCAAGCTCCTGCTTTCTCTTCCCCAATTTGTCCCTACTGTCCACATGTCCAACTTGATGGGGGTGGGGGTTCTCCCAGATCCCTCAGCCAAATCTGAAGAGCCCAGGGCTTCTCCAAAAGGCTACTGCCAATGCAGACCCACCTGAGAAAGGAATGAGTGCATGTTCTCACACTGAACAGGAGCCTCGCAGCAACAAACTCATTTGGAGTCATGAACCTGCCTCTGGTCTCCAGAGCTACTCAAGCCTCACAGAGCAATGGAATTGGAGGAGTAAGTAGGGATTCAGCATGGCAGGAGTTTGTCTGGGGAGTAAAGGCTGCCTCCTGGAGAAAGTGGTCTATGAGCTGAGGAGATTGCCAGTTCGAGTGGGACCAAGAGTGTTTATGAATTTTTAAGGCAGAGGGAATAGGATGTTCAAAGGCCCTGGTATGCAAGGAAGAAGGGAATAATTCAGAATGTCTGAGGTTTGGATTGAATGGAAGAGGGAAGTGGGATGACATGGGGAGATGAGACAGCATACATAGTTTATGAGCAGATAGTGAAGAATGCCAGAGTCAGGTCCACAAGTCTTTTACTAGAGGAAGGAGCACCACGAAAGGGTTTTTGTATAGGAACAACAGGACCTACACCCTTCCCCCTGCAAGCATGCAGAAGGTGGGCTGATTAGAAGGGGTAGAGACTAGAGGCTGGTTAGACCAGCAAGGAGGCTACTTCAGTAGTCCAGATGAGAGGTAAGGAGGGGCTGAACTTGGGAGTAGAAGCCTGGAACTTCTGGAAACTCTCTGGCTTATGTGTCCTCCATGGTGAGGAACTGGTAAGACTGTAATTGCTGGGGGACTTGCCCTCCTCAGGTTTGGTTGTGCATGAATCCTGTGAGGCAAGGTTTCCTCAGTTCAGAGGATAATTACCCTGAGTCCACACCTTCCGTTTTAGCCTCTTCCTCATATAAACAGTATATATACAGCAAGAGCAGAATAAAAAACCAGGACCCTACTTTCTGTCACCCTCACCCACCCCCAGTAGAATTGCTAAGGTAAGGGGCCCCAGCTCTATCCCAATGTGTGGCAGGCAGGAAGGGGTGTAGGGACTCAAAGAGCAGGTCAGAACCTGCCCTCTGTCAAAGGAAATATCCACCCTCTTAAGCCTTTCAGAGACTGTTTTCTTACAATTAGGTCCTGCTGTTACCAGGGCAACTAAGAATTCTGGGCTTTGTGTTTCTGTGTTTGTTGAATCCCTGAGGAGAAGTGGCCCACAGAGCTTTCCCCTAGTCTGGGCAGGATGCAGGAACTGCTAGTGGGAGGTGGAGACACCCCACCCCCAGTTTGGAGGTAATCTCTTGCCTTGGTAATGCCTATTCTTATTTTATGGGAGGGGCAAGGGCTCCATGTGAGTCAGTTCTGATACTCAAGGGTAAGGTTTAGGCTTCTCTGAACCTGGTATCCAAGGGCTAGACTTCTGCATCCATCCTATGTCACCTCACTCTCAGGGAGGTGCAATCTGAGCAGGTGTCTAGCAGGGGCAAGCTCACACCAGACCATGAGATATTCTGGGGTATTACACAAATGTTTTTTGATCACTTACTATGTGCTTAGTGTGGGATCTCCAGGCTGGTTTCTGCTCTGGAGAGCTCTAAGGGAAGACTCAGAACCAAATTAGCCATTAAATATGTCCCTGAGCTAGTTAGTCCCCGAGACTCTTTTCTGCACTGGGCTGGGCTGGGTATTAGACTTGCTTAGGGTGTTTTTTAGACATAGAAATTTCTAAAGACTCTGATTCCATCAGTGTGGGTGTGAGTGGAGGGTGCTGGTTACGAGTTCTAAATACCAAACTGCTGGAGTTCACAGTAGAATTGTGCAAATGAAGCAAGTGACCTTGAGCTGTCAGTTTCCTCACAGAATGAATGAGGGGAACAGTGGATTCACCAATATTTTCTCTTTCTTCCCCCATCCCTTGGGAACAGGATTTTTATGGCCCTCACCCTCCTTGTCATTCTTCTACTGCTCCTATTCTTTTCTTCCTTCTCCTTTTCCTTTATTCTAATATTTCCTTACTCCTGGCATGCAAAAAGGTTTCTTCTGTGAGGTGCAACCTGATCACCTTCCATTGGCTGCCCTGGACCACAAGCAAGGCCTACCCATCTCTTGGACACCCTCCCCCACCCATTCTGCTGCAGCAGCCCAAGAAGGCATTGGCATTTCTGGCACCCTGTCTGCTGATTCATCTTGAATCCCATCAGCTGAAGTTCTCAGATTTCTTTTTCCACAAGTTTCTTCCAAGACTCATCTTCCCCACTCAGTCTCCTGCAGTTGGTTTCTGAACCTGACTGCAAGATCTCACATGTGCACCTGGCAAAGGTCATATCAGCACATCCTTCCAGGCTATGGAGATTAGAATTGTGATTCCATTTTGGAGGGGAGCCTCCAGTCCTCCAGGCTTCATATGATCTGCAGATTCCCTTAGCAGGCAACCTCTAAGTCTTCATTCAGCAGCCAACTTATTCACTCACTTATTCGTTTATGTACCAAACTAGGGTTGAGAGCCTACTGTGTACACAGCCATGTGCTAGGCCCCAGGGATCCAGCAGTGACTGTTGGTCTGAGTAGGAATGGGAGTCAGTGGCAGGGCCAAACTAGAATCCAAGACCCTGTCCCCTATACTCATAGGGCTTCCAGCAGGGTTGGACAAGACTCACCCTACTCTTCTTACTTTCCCCCACCTGATCTGATGGGCCATGAGACAATCTGGGGTCACTGATCCCTGCCAGCAATGAACATGAGAAACTCCAGGGGTGCTGGAGACCTTATCTGATACCAGAAGCAGAACAGGAAGCCCCAGTGCTCACAATGCAGCTCAGGCCCCACAACCTTGTACCTCCCCAGAGGACAGTCAGCCACACACTCATGCAAACTCATCACCACAAACTTGGCACTACCACTGCTTACCCTTCTCTGCAGCACAGACCTGCCACCTGGCTGGTTCTCCCAGAGCCTTCAGACATCATGCACCTGATTCAGCTCTTGTTGCTTGGGAAAAGGCCCAGAATCTAATCAGGCTATGGCTTGAGCTCATCAGGGGCTTCCTGGGAAATAGCATGGTGGATTAGAGTTGAAAGACTGTGAGTTTGGAAGTCACACGGACCTGAGTCCACTGTGGAACCTAATATCTCTAAGATCCAAGTCCCTCAGCTCTAAAAGGAGACACCTGCCTAATTGAGTTGTTATGGGAATGAAATGAGATGATGTTGGTGAAAGTGGCACATGGTCAGAAACGCACTGGTTGCCTCCTTCTCTTCCTTCCTTCTGTCCTTTCTTCCTTACTTCCCCTGAAAGGAGCAAAGTCAATGTGCCTCTGAAACTGGGCTTTGCATTTTTCTGCAGTTCTTTCATCTGGAGGGAAGGTGGGCAGAATGGGGCAGACCCGGAAGACAGTAGAACCTGTGAGTGGAGGCAGAGAGGAGCTGACTACTGGGCAGCTGTGGGGCTGAGAAAGAGCCACTTACCAGCTATAAACCTTGGGACAGTGACTTCTCTTAAGCCTGTTTCCTCATCTCTAAAATGAGGGTAAATGAACTGGGATAATGGATAATCAAGTGTGTGGCTCAGCACTTGTACTTAGTAGGGGGCTCAATAAACCTTCCCACCCATTGTACCAGAAAATAAATTTCCAATTCATGGCTGGAAAACTTGAGCAAATCCCAGAATGGGGTTCAGTTTCTTCTGACCCACATGCTATGAGGGCAGTGAAATCTTGCTGGGAGGGTCTCTGTGTGTACTGTGAGGCTGTTTAAAAACTGCACCTGCTAGTTTACTGGTGTCACATAGCACCACCTAGTGCCCAAAAGTGGAAAGGCCCTCCTGCCTGCCTCACCCTGCTTGGCCTCCTTCCCCAGGGCCCGTGTGTGTGTGTGTGTGTGTGTGTGGAGGGGGTTGTGGCCCCACCCCCTGTCACACACAGAGCCGCAGGGCGATCAGGGGGTTTAGGTGCTGCCCCCTGTCACACTGATCCCGGTGCTGGGAGGCCTCTCAGCTCCGCTGATCCTGGTGCTGGGAGGCATATTGCCCTTTTACTATATAGGATAAGGCCT